TTTACAAATGCCAGCAAGCGCCCACAACGTCCCACTTGCCCGCCAAGACCACAACTGCCAAACAATAAGGAGACGGCAACGGCCGGGAACGTAACGGCCACAAGAACAAAGAACCCAAGAGCCCACAAGCCATCGGCTCCTCGTCATGACCTTTGATGATAACTCTCTACAAGCGATCTGCGCACAAGGGTTCTCCCACAGGGTTACCTTGGCCAGAAAATCGCCATGAGAGTTGGATTCAGGGGGACTACGGAGAGGCCGCTTCGGCCAGGGAATCAAGCAACTCCTTCACCCCTCACGCTCCTCGGCCTGAAGCAGTGGGGGACTGGGGGACTACACCGGCCTCAGCAAAGCACAAAGGAAACACTACAAAGAACATGAATGTGACCACAAAGCATGGCCACATCATCCATTCAGCACAACGGAACTTCATCGGCCAAAGGCCCATAACGTCATTAGCGACGGCTAACAAGCCACTAGAGACAAGGACACTCATCTTCCTTCGCCATCACTTAATCACAAGGGGCTCTTCGGCCAGAAACATGAAAGCTAATCAACGACGGCCAAAAGGAGTGCACAATCACCCTCATCGGCCATCCAAAGGGAAAGACGCCATCGTCCTCGAAGCAAGGACCAACTGCAGTGGCCTCATCGGCCCAAACACAAACTTCAACCATCAGCGTCCAAGAAAAACATGCCTTCAACGGCCACCATTGAAAGAAGGACACTCATCGTCCCAAAACGAAGACATCAAGTAAACAACGGCCTCCCTGTCCACAACGAGGAACAGGTAACGGCCAAGGGCAACAAAGCACAGGAATCTACTCTCCTTCACTTCGCCTACGTCTCAGCTTAGAGAGTGGGGGACTCCTGATGAAGTATATGGGTCTGAGCCCCCGGACCCACATACTCGGAAGAACAGAAAGCACAAGACAACAGAGTGGCGCCCTCGTCGGCCAAGACGCCCCCGTCGGCCGAAAAGGGGCCAACTCGGATTATGGTCCTGAGTCCAAGGAACCCGGGTGCCCTCGTCGGCCATGCCCTCGTCGGCCGTGCCCTCGTCGGCCGCGCCCTCGTCGGCCAAGAAGACCTCCCAGAATCAGATTTTATACTTACTCATTAGTACAGCCCATTAGTGGCTTTGTATTCGGCCCAGTAGCGGTCCAGTTGTAGATGGGCCTCCCAAGCCCAAGACTTGGGAGCCCAACCCTAATTTTCTCTATAAATACTCCCCTTGGGAGTAGTTATAGGGGTTACAAAATCATTCTATTGAAGCAGATTACTGCACTTCTCTCTCTAGCTCTCACTTCTCTCTAGATATACTCTATCAGTATGAATCTATAATTTCAATGCATACATAAACATATTTGTATATACTCCGTGTAATATTTCCTCTGCCCTGTTAGGATTTTTTCATCTTTCAATTTTTTTTGTTCTGTTCCACTAAGATTTTTCATATTAAATTTAGTAAAGTTTGTGTGACTCCAAATCATTATTACATTGTTCTTACTTCATCAATTCGATATATTAACCATATAAACCCATTTTTAATAACATATTGCACCACCTCATCATGACTCAATGTTAGTGTGACAAAGGTAGTATATACTCCATCAATCCCGCTAAGATTGTCTCATCTCTCCTTTGGTTCATCCCCTTAAGATTGTATCATATCAGATTTAGTGAAATTTGTGTGCTTTTAACTCATTTTTATTTTATTCTTACTATATTAATTCAAATTCAATCACATAAACTCATTTTTCTTAATAATTGCACCACCTTATAGCTCTTCATGTCCCAATTGTTAATGCGATGGAGGTAGTAATATTTAAACTAGCTCTTGTTTAATTGGTCTGGACCAGAATATTATGGCTTTTGGATCGGACTGGATCGGAAATGCAAAAATCCTTGGACCGAGGCCCACACCAGCATGCAAAAATCCTTAGACCTAAGCATGGGCGGGAATCGCAAAACTCCTTGGACCGAAGTCCGGATCAGTATGTAACAAATCCGGGTTCGGTCTGAACCTATCAATCTGATTCAATCTAGTTTTCCGATCTGAACTGGATTATGGTCAATACTACTCAACGTGATTAATTCAATGTTTAATTATGCAGTTAGTATCTTATTAATGTCATAGTTAATGTACTATTATGATTCGTTGCGATTACAACTTGTAAATCCTATAGAAGCCCCTCAATATTTAATGATAAGAAACTATTTCTAACATTCAAACTCCCTAGTACTTTAATTTTCATGTACTTTATTTTCTTCATGAGTGTTTTTTCGTAGTTTTCCCGAAATATCTATAAGTGTGCTTTTTTACCATTAGATATATTCATAAGAATACGCTTATACTACGTATATCTTTAGAAATGTCTTTGTTTTTTCATTTCTGGAGTTTTTAGAAATGTCTTTTAAAGTTTGTGCATTCAATAATAAATATGGATCATTAAAATTAAAACTGAATACGATAGTATAAGTCAAGCGTTCTTGAAAAGTCATTATTTTAATTCATATTGACTTTTAAAGAAATTATTAGATGAGTTTAGTTATAAACTTTTGAAGGGAAAAAGTCTTTGATAATGTGTTTCCTCAGGATTTCTCAAAGACACTGAAAGAGAAAGTTCATGAAAGTTTACACATTTGCACATTTTCAACTCAATGAAAGTCTTCAATTTGTTATATTTAGTACAGTCGTCTACGGCTATTTTCTAAGTTAGTTGAGAATTGAAATAAATAAATAAATAATGACGAGTCGGACATGGCGTGATATTTTAAAGCAAAAAAATGATGCGTCGGACATTTTAAAGGTTTTTAAGAATTAGTACTACGTAATAAATAAGTTAGGAAAAATAATAAAAATATCCCAAATTTTGAAGGGGTGTGAGGTAAATACCCCAAACTTGCATATGTATTTTAAATACCCTAAACTTTAAATAAAAATTTATTTTTGCACCATTGTCATGTATTATTTCTTTCAGAAATGTAAATTTATGGGGTTAATTGCATAATTTAAAATAGAAAATTGAAAGTGTTGCAATTATATAGATTTGGGGTCAAATTATTTATTTTCTAATGCAAGCTTAAAATTTAATTGGGTCTTCATGAATTCTAAAATATTTTAAATTATGCAATTAACACCATAATTTTTTTTTACATTTTTGAAAGAAATAATAGTTGCTATGGTGGTAAAATATCTTTATATATAAAGTTTGGGGTATTTAAATTACATATGCAAGTTTGAGGTGTTAATCTCACACCCTTTTAAAGTTTGGCGTATTTTAATTATTTCCCCCTAAATAAGTTGTGAACAAAAATGTGACTTATCAACAATTACTGGTTATAATTGTGTTTAAAGTTGGAATACAAGAAAATGATGTATTCAATTGTACGAAAAAATATTTTTAATCATTTTCATGTGACACAAATTACTAGTAGTCTAAAATCCAAACTTGTCCAAAACACACTTAAAAATAGAATAAATTCAAAGGCAAACGCCTTTATTCAACCAAAAGACAAGCAAAAAGAAACAAGAGGTTTTCTGATATGGCTCACTCGGTTGATTATTCACCCCCAAATCTCTATTATGTGAGATGTTGGGTTCAAGTCGCACCAAGAGAGATACCCATTCTCCTTACCTTCATAGAGTAGTTAGTTCAACGGCTGGGTGAGGAGAGAGATTCAATGCAGTCACTAGGTTTGTTTGGTAGGAGCATCAACTTGATAGCGGTGATGTAAGCCCAATTGAAATCGTGCTATAGAGCCAGTACCAATAAAAGATGACTTTAATCAAATTCAAAATTTAATTGACTATGAATTTTGAAGAGTAGTTCATAGGCTCCAGGATAATTGAAGCGCAAGCTCCGACATTTGAAAAAAGAATGTGGGATATTTTGGACAAGGTGGCAGCTCACTTGGCTAGCCACCCATCCCAAATCTCCCCTTCGTGGGAGATCTCGAGTATGACTCTCACCAAGAGAAATGATAAAGGTCTGCTTTCAATGAATTTCCTACATTCACGGAGTAATTCAACGGTTGAGAAGGTAAAGAATAATAATGAAGGTAGACGCTTCGTATAGTAGGAGGAACAACTTGATTATAGGTGGTGTGAATCATGCCGAATTCCTTAAGCCAACATCAACAAATGTTGATGTGATCAAAATCAGATTTAACTATTTAGGGATTTTGAATGATGACTCATAGACTATCAAATGAAAAAGCAAGCGTAATCTTAAACTTTTTTAGGGATTTTGAATGATGGCTCATAGAACATAAAAAGAATGAAAAAAAAGAATCAAAAAAAGAACACATCCCAAGATTGGTCTGTTTGTAACGTAATCTTAGGATGCCCACAAACTTTTTGACAACGTTTTTTCCTTTCTGAAATATCTTTGAAAGTGGAAACCATATGAAAATTCTTTTATTCACCTTTGTTTCTTTTGTAAGTAGTGCCCAGATGCCAGAACCCATTGTACGGTGCATCTCATTGTGTGAACAAATGAAATTATGACACATGGAAATTTAAAACATCCATTAATGAAATGACTTGAAATGATATTGGCTGAGTAATGCAAAAGTAGGGTACACTACAAATTTGAAGAGGTACCGTAGAAATCTCATTTCTCTATAATTCTCTTCCTACCCATTACCCACGTAATTTAAATTTAAAAGGTTTTGTTTTCTGCATTATTAGTTATTCCCCTCACTTCCACAAATTAAAGGGATAGCGAGAATCTGTTTTATACGGAGTAACAATATAATTTTGAAAAGCAAAAAGGGAACATGAGAGCTTCCACTAAATTAAAAGCAGATGGAAGCAAGAACTCCACTAATACAAAATGATACAGAAAATCTATAAAGAACTCCAAGTCACGTTTTTATTATATATATGCCTTTTGACAATCAGGGAAATTTAAAACAAATATTAAAAAAACTACTCCGTAATATTAAAGGGACATAGAAAGACCTTTTTGCAATAGTCAACGTATTACTGCATGTTTAGAAGAGAAAACCAACATTATCAATTAATGCATTGAAAATTTGCACATTATTCCAATTTTAATAGCCTCAGAAATTATACCAATGGCAATAAATTGTCCATCATAAGAACAACTAGAACAGGAGATCAGAAGATACAAAGTTACAAACATTCTTCCTCCAAGTACATACATCTGCATACACATTAACAACAGCAGAGTTCTTTCCTTTTTTGAAGAATTATTTGTAGCAGTGACATTGATTAGGAAAAAGAATTAATCACACTACAATATATCTATGATTTCTTTTCCCATAAAAAATTAAGTCTTGCCACTCTAGTAAGGCCTGTGCCTCTTGTGACCGCTTGAGTCGCCTTCGGAAGAAGCATCCATGGATATAGAGAAGGAGGTCGATAGATCGGCGTAGAGATCGACAACCTTTCTGATGTTGTTGTTTAGTTCCTTAATCAGACCGACATTTCGGGTCAAATTATCCGGGGTTTTGGACTCATGGTTCTGATTAATCTCACTAATCAGCAGCCTATTATGATCCAAAATATTTTGAACTTGCACAAAACTTTTCTGAAATGTCTGCAATACCCTCCCATCTATCTGTGCCCCAGAAAATGCATCCCCATCCATTTCTTGGCAGCTCAAAGCCAATCCTACACCAAAGAATTTTGAATCAATCTTCCAAAGATAATGGACAAATAAAAAATGCAGAGGTAACTTTGGGATAGGGGGAGGGTGGATTTTTACAGGTAAGAAAAGTCCAACATCATTGTGGCATTTAGTTGAAAGGATAGAACCAAAAGCATGATAAGGTTCTTGAATAGTTTAAAGCTGATATGTACTACACGTTAGACTCTTGGAGACAAGTGCATTATCTTATACACACTATTTAAGCTTGTAGTATATAAATATAATTTTGATTACTTTGTGTCATTTTTCCCTTACTTTTTTTGTTGAATTGGTCTTTCCTAATTTAACTCCTACTGCGTATTTCTATTTACAATTGGAGATCTAATTACAATTATCTATCTATCTATCATATTTTATGTGTTCTATAAGAGCAACCACAGTACCACACAACTCACAGTTTCACAAGATGAAGATATTTTTACTTTTTTTTTGTAATAGTTAATTTAATAAAAGAAATCAACTACGGAGTAACATATTAAAAAAGTACACCAAAATTATACTATCGGATCCAAAAGTAGAAATAACAACTTATTTAATTTTAAGAGAATATCTTTAAATAACAAAAGAATGCAATTTCACTACGAATGATAATGTTGATTAGGAAATGCAGAAAAAATAAGTACCACCCAGGCCAAAAACATTCCTGTGTAGAGTTGTAATGTTACTAAGAAAGTAAAATGTTAAGATTTTGGTTTCTAAAACTAGAAAAAGAACCTATACAGTTTTTTTAATCCAAAAAAGAAAAGTGGGAATTATAAAATTAAGGGACAAAATAAAATTGGGAGAGTTTAATACTCCGTTTTAAATTGGGAGAGTATTTTGGGGTACTTTAAGATTTAAAAAAGGAGATCCATTTTCCATAAAAAGGAACCTTTACTGTTGTACCATACAAGAAGCCAAGACCCAGAAATCAGCGGTCACTTTTGCAGAACAGATTTGGCCATAACTCTGATATTGGTATCTATCTATTCAATAAACACCATTATTCCCAATCACCTCAAATTATTCAATACAGAGTTCGCTTTCTATTTTTCAGATTGAGATTATAATTCAACTTAAATCCTTATAAAATGTAGTTCGATCGAGGTTGGGACCCGGGATAGGAGGTCATCTTTTTTTTTTTAATTTCTTTTCCCGGTTATCTCTATCCCTGCCATTATTATTCCATAATAACACGTGCTCACCTTTAAATTACAACTCCTTAATTTGGAAAATTATTCCTCGTTTAACTGATATAACAGATAAAGAAGGAACCCCAACAACATCCTATAAGCTTGATCTATTCACTGGATATAAAAAGACAATTAGTAATAATGGACTAACCTCGGGATATTAGAAGAACGGCTGCGTCCAACTAAGGGGAAGAGGAGCTGGAAACGGAGAGCATAGGATATAGCGTACCACTGTCTGGCCGAGAGATGAGCGGTAGAGAGAGATGGGGAGATCGGATGAATTGGCAGACCGAGGAGAAACGGAATAAATACAAGATCTTGGGCATGTCATTTTCTCATTGGATCGGATCAAACACTTGGGGCCAATAACTTTAAATCGTCCCTATTTTAAAAAGTTGCCAATTTTTGTTTTTTGGTAGTCCAAAAGTTTGCAATTTTCTTAAGTTTGTGATTCCTATTAATTTTCTCCCCTATCCACAAAATTTAATTACACATTTTTTTATTTCAATATTTCTTCTGTGATAGTTAAACTTGGCCAAGTTTCAATGGAGTAAAATGAAGTATTTTTTACTACTTATTTGGTCACATTGAAATCGGTTAAATGGATTGAATCTAATGAAACTGATGAAAATCATGAAATTATAGATGAACCAATGGACTTCACTAATTTGCTAATTTGCGAAAGTATTATACTCACTCTATCTCATTTTGTAAGATATACTTTCATTTTTTATTTATCCCAAAAATATGAACATTTTTTTAAAATTAGATTCCACTAACTTCTTGTTTTCCCACTTTATCCTTTCATCTATCATTTCACCATTTACTTTTTGTGAATCCATTTTTCTCTTTCTTAGTTTTGAAGGTTAGAATTGTAAAACAACAACTTTATTCTTTATTTTCCTAAACCTCGCACCAAGCTCATATGCATCTTACTTTATGGAACGGAGCTAGTTTTTAAAACATTTTTATGGTAAATGAAGATTTTTTTATGAAAACTAGTTTTAATAATCTTTTACAGTAATTTCAACCAATTCAATCACAAAAGTAACGTAAAATTCACTTACGTTGCTTATTATATAATTTAGCGAGCAAAATCAAAATTCTGTGTTTAATAAACAAAAAAAAACTTGATAAGACTTTCAAGCTGAAAAAATTAGTTACCAAACAGGCTCTTAATAGCTATGTTTAATAAACCGGACCGGGAAGCAATCCGGCCACGTGACCGGGTCACGGGTCAACCCGAACCCGGTCAGGTCAACTTGGTCAACGTTATAAAACAGTCAACCATTTAACAATAATAAACATATAATTGTATACAAAATTAAAATAAATGATAGTTATTTCTTAATAATCAACTAATACTAATACTTGTTTGGGAATATTATCCCGACCTACTACAATCAGAGGCCCAAGGCTTCACCCGGTATGGAGCCCAGTTGGCGAGGCCCATTTAGGCCCCCAGGCCCATTTAGAGCCATTTAGGCCCACTCGGCCTACTTGGGGTGGCTTTGGCCCATTAAGGCCTTAATGGGCCTTTAGGAAAGAAAGGTTACCCCCCCACTCTATATACTTATTTGTTTAAGATTAAAAATCATGTCAAATTATATAATAAATATCCAATAAAATACGAGTAACAAATATGGAGTATCATTATACTCCCTCCGTCCCATAAAATTCTTCCCACTTTCTTTTTTGGACCGTCCTAAAAAATTCTTCCCACTTATCATTTTTGGACAATTTGTGTGGTTCACATTCATTTCTCCTTTTTCTTACACAACCACAACCATACATTTCTACTTTCTTAATCTCCGTGCCAAGTCAAAGTGCCTAGGCCCAGGCGAGCTTTTTTTGGGAAGGGTGAACCGGAAACGGCCCGGGGATAAACCAGGTCTGGGCCGAGCCCGAACCGATCTGGATCGAGCCCAGTTCTATGTTTTTTTTGCTTTCTAATTACCCCCAACCCCCCCCCCCCCCAAAACACCCATCCCTAACCAAGAAAAACAAAAAATTGAAAAAACAAAAAAAAAAATCCCGACCCAGTTGGACTGGGCTGATCAAGAAAAAAGTGACCCAAGCCTGGCCCGCCCAACTCAACCCAACCGGGTAAAAGCCCGGGCCCAGTTAGCACCAACCGGGCCAGTCCGGGCCCGCACAATAGCAGGCCTAGCCGGTTCCAAGCCAGACTGGTTCCGGGCCGAACCGGTTGGGTCCATCCCTACAAGGGCCCCCACACCCCTTCCGGTAGACATTTCAAATAGGGTAGGGAAGTACCAGTTTTTAGCATACTTTACTAAAATAAAAAATAAAAAATAAAATAAATAAAACCAAACTGATCAATTCAAATTAATTATAAAAGTCAGACCGGTTCCAATTATCAATTCCAGATTTCCAGTTCAGAGCAACCAAACTGTTCTGTTTTAATGCTATTTTATAGCAAAAACCAAAACTAATTAGGACCGATTCCCACAAAAAACAGGCAACCAGCCATTTTCTTTATCCGTTGATCTGATTACCAAGTAACCAAACAATGGAAACTTAAATCTTTTTTCTTATCCAGTAGAATTTAAGTTCCAAACTTTCCTTATTCATTGACTAACAGAGATTCACTCTAACCCAAAGTAAAAACTGACATCTGCTTTTTTTCAAAAAAAACTGATGAAAGCATGCAAACTAAGGGAGCTTAAATTGCTTAATAAACAAATTGGGGGCGCATTCATAATTGAACTTCCAAAATTGAGGAAACAAAAATTTCTTGATAAACTTTACATCACAAAATACAACTCATCAGTGTTCACTTGGGGAGGAAAAACTAACAAACTAAGTATGATTAAAATGTAAATTGCAATGGTAGTGGACTAGAGGGTAAACAACGCAAATGCAGAATTAGTGTTCCGTGAACAAAAAATACAAAAAAAAAAAAGAATTAAAAATATATAAAACAGGTTGTCTTAGAATAATATGTACAATTAAATGAAATCATCAAACCAATTAAAATAGAGGTCATGCCAATAATTACGAACTTAAGTCCCGGGATGCATGTCCTTGCCATCTGCACTCAGAACATGTGGGATTACATTAGCGTATATAATAGTATTGATATCACAGAAGGCTAATACTTTATCCGTCCCTTCAATCTTTGTCATCTTTGACTGACATACGAAGTATAATAATAAAGTAAAGATGGTGTATTTGAGTTTTGTACAAAAGAGATTTTTGGGCCGGTTAACGGTTAACGTGAATCCATACATGATATTGGAGCTTTGTTCAAAAGAACATGAAATAATATTTAACCACATATGGGTTACTTTTAAGGGAAAGTGACAGTTTTTTTAACAAACAAATAAGGAAAGTTTAAAAGTTTAGTGTGACCTTCGTAGTACATATGTACTCGTGAAATTTGCTTTGTTGCAACTGGGGATAACATTTGCACTCCCACCCATTGGTAACTGATCCACCCAATCCCAAAATATGGATCATTTCATTTTCATTTTCATTTACCCCAGTGCCGCAAAGGGGTATGGGGGGTCGGATGTACGCAGTCTTACCCCTGTACTAAAACACGGAGAGACTGTTTCCGGATGACCCATAGTGAAAATTGTGTCCAAAATTGCATGGACTGACTGCTGCTCCATAACAAAGAAGCGCAGACAGTTTAGTGAGCCATTTTGCTTTATTCCATCATAATCTCAAGCCAAAAAAATGAATCTTTGGCTCCATTGCAAATGATGGAAATATGGATGTAAACCTGAAAAGTTTAGGGTGGAAAAAGGTGATGGGTGAAAATGGTTATGGAGCGGATCAGATGCAGGTGGACACATATATCATCCATCACCCGACTCGTCATCTGATCCACCGCCCCACCCGCTATTATTTATAATTTTTTTAAAACCAACATACTTGTATAGCCCAATATAATTATACATTTTCATCTAATATCACTAAATCAAAATGAGCCAATTTGTTTTCCCTTTATTGTTATATTTCATGTTTTTTTTCCTTTTTCTTTATGACTTGATGGAGAAGACATGGAGATGTGGTAGGACTGGTAGATGAAAGTATAAACATATTATTTAGAATTCGGTCTATGTGAATTTTTATTTTTATTTAATATTTGGGGTTGACTTAATGTATTGTATATAACTAGTCATATTATTAATTACTTAATTAGTATTAATGTGTTCTCTTTTTTTGAATACTACCTCCGTACCTTTTTAGTTAGCCATATCTTTGTCTTTTCTAATCAATGATGGTAAACTTTGATCAATCACTTCCACTTATGTATTTTTGTGAACTATTAAATTTTATACTTTTATGAAAGTATATAAAAATTTTCATATATAATCATATAATAGGTCAAGTTTAGTATCCATTGACTGGAAAAGTCAAAGATGACTAAATAAACAGAGACGGCAGAAAGTAGTAACTTTTAGAGCCTGTTTAGGAACACTGAAATTGACCGAATCTGCTAAAATTTATGAAATTATGGCTGAAATGACGGAACTGGTTGATTCTGCTTAATTATGAAAAAATTATATTTCAAATATGCTTTATTAATAAAACAAAGAAAATTATATGAAAAATAGCTACAATGGTCTTCTACATTAACATCAGTCAATTCAGACAGAAAAGTAACTTCAATCTTACTCATTTTGATTGTTACACAACTCAACGTGCGAAATCAAAAGTTATGTGTTTGATTAAAAAGTTTGACTGATAAATCTAATAAGCTGAAAACAGGGTTACCAAACGGGCTCTTAGACTTTTTATAGAATAACTTGTACTACCTCCGTCCCGCTATGATTGTCCCGTTTTACCTCATCGGTCCGTCCCACTAAGATTGTCCCATACCAAATTTGGCAAAGTTTGTGTGGTTCTAAATCATTCTCACTTTATTCTTACTTTATCAATTCAATATCAACCACACAAACCACTTTTTATTGATTTGCGTGTCACTCCCTCTTGTCCCATTGTTAGCGGGACGGGGGAGTAATAGTTTCACGCGTTATTCACCCGATCAACCTGAATAAATCATGGGTGATAAATGGGATGTATATGGGTGAAATATTTAACAGAACAGATCGGGTGATGGATGGATGGATGGATGAGGGTCAACTTCCATCCAACCCATTGTCATTCCTAGCTTTAACAATGTTTAGGAGAAGGAATCTGTGCATGTTGATGGATTGTCAAATGTATTGCATATCGTTGACAGGTTCAGCAACATATATGATACTCACAACTTAAGATCTTCAAAAAAAATCACATGGGGCTAGCTCATCAGGTCGAGTGGGAGGGGGCGGTAAATTCATCTTTGTTGGTTATCGAGTTTAAAATAGGGAAAATTACTATTAACCCCCTGAGGTTATATCATTAATTATTAATGCAACCTTTCATTTTCAAAAATCAATTAGTTACCCCCTATGTTTTAATCATTCTCACTATATACCCCCATACGTTAATATTTGTTCAATTAAACTTAATATACCTCTTAAATTCAATGAAAGTTGTACATAAAATTAATTTTTTAAATATAATACGGAGTACAATTTATTATCATAATTATAAGTCATTGTTGATGATCGTTTGTTTTTCTACTTAACGTACTACTCGATCATGGAGTAACTATTAGTGAGAGTAGTTAAGGGGAAGACTCACGAGTAATATTCATGGGATACATAAAAATAATTGTTTCTAAAATGTGATCAAAGTTTTAGGCACTTTTTAATTATAAATATAAAAGTCTTATTTGTAATTCATCCGGTTGAATTAATCGTAATGGCATTTCTTTCGTGTGTAGCAAAGAAGAAATACCAAGATTTTTTTTATCATTCCATGACCTAAAAGATAGGTTTGGTATCAATAAGGGACCTACAAGATAAAATATGTGATGATTTTGATTATTCTAAACATTCCATGATCTGAATAATTCAAAGCTATCAATCTAAGACATAAAATAACATAGATTTTAATTTATTTAAATTTTTTATTAACTCTGTTACTAATTTGTGATGATTTTATCTACACAAAAGTTTTTTTGAATGTAAAAAGTTCATTAGTTTTATAAGATTAAATGATATTTAATTTTTTAAAATAAAAATATTAAAAATTCATGATATTTTTATATCTTACTCGTGAGTATTTTCTCTTAATTACTCTCAATAATATTTATTCCACGATGGAGTAGCTAAGTAGAAAAATAACGATCAACAACAATGACTTATAACTATGATAATAATTTTTGTTTTGCATTTAAAATTAATTTTATAGACATTTTTCATTGAATTTAAGAATTATATTAACTTTTTAATTAACAAATATTAACGCGAGGGGCAAAGAATGAGAATGATCCAAATTCAGGGGGTAACTAAATGATTTTTGAAAACGCAAGGTTGCATTAATAATTATAACATAACCTGAGGGGGTTAATAATAAATTTCCCTTTAAAATATGCAAAACCGAAAGCCAAACTGAATTACTTTGGTTTTGGTTCTGTGTTTTTTGGCCTGTTCTGGTTGGTTTAGGTCGGTTATAGTAGGTTTGGTTGGTTCTGAAACCACAAACTTTAGACCGTTGACAGAAGTACAGAACCCCCTATGATTTGGTTGGGTTTTTCACATTTTCCACTTTTGGTTTATCACTTTTTGTGAACACCTATTTGGGTGGGTGTGCTAACAAACTTGAAGTATTATCATGAATTCTAGGAAACAAAAAAATCTTTGGGGGGATTTTAAAGATTTAAAATGCTCTTTACATTTTCATTGACACACCATATAGGATGGAGTTTGCACATGTTCTTGCAAACAACAATTTAATGAGCAATGATTTGACAAACCTTGAGAGCAAGAACCTAGCCAGTGAGCTCAAATTGGCATTTGGTTGGAGCTCCTTACTTTGCTGCTTTTTCTTGTTATCACTTTCAGTGTTTGAGTTCACTTCCACTTCTGCCTTGCCTTTGGTAAGGATTCGGGCAGCCAGTTCTTGCAGCTCTTTCAAAGAAGATTCCCTCGAACTGAAAAGAATGTGTAATGCTTGACTAATACCTTTTCTTTTGACATACTAGTATCTGATATTGAAGCAAACACTTATCACAAAAATCAACAAACCTCGCCAAGCGCTGAAGTAGCCTGGTGACGAAAAGATCACAAGACCCAGGCTTTATACGCTCCATCTCCATGAAAGAGCTTGCCATTGTCTGCGCATATGATCCTTCTACATCCCCACCGGCTACAGCCTACATAAAATATCCACCACATGCAACAACATATGAGCTAGTGAAGAATGAAGACCCTCAAAATAATCCCAGCTTTCATATGTGAAATAGTTGAAAAGAACACACACACACATACATATACATGTGTGTCTATGTTTGTGTGTGTCTATCAATTTATGCATATATGTGTGTGCATGTACATGTGCGTGTGAGAGACGTGTAATTGTGTGCATTTATGTGTGTGGTTTATACTCCCACTATCCCAAAATTAGGTTCCTGTTTTCTTTAAGCATAGTTACTAAGCAAGTAAAATTATGCCATTGAGATTTCTTTAGGAAGAGGAGAAAAATATGAACCGCGTGAATTTTTCCTCGAGATAAATGAAAGATACTTCTAAGAAGCTAATTTGAGAGCAGAAGAATACATACCTCCTTTAGAGAAGGTACAATGAGGGTAGATAATGTGGCAGGAGAAGGTGTGGCGGGCATTCTAGCAGCAGCATCAGCATCACCACTATGATGAGATCTTGAGAATGCTTTTTGTGCATCACAGTAGTCACGAGAATATCTGTAATAGAAATTTCAAATATAAGGAGAACAAAATGTGAAACTAGAATTCGTAAACTGGTTCAGTTTTGCATCAGAAAGAGGGAACTGTGTAAAGGACATAAGTGTGCCTTGAAGAATCAGCCGTTGCTGTTTGATCTGTTCTGCTGTTTCCTTGCCCATCTCTGTGGGCCTTACCCAACATTGACCTTTCTCGAGGATTTCCTTTCTTCATGCCTGCTTGCATGGAAGCCCTTGCCTAATTAAATAATGGCTATGTTTAGTCTCAATATATGTGGCGGAAAATGTCAAATTTAAAAATACATTAAAACAAAATTCCAAATAGAACCTGAATGTTAGTTGACGAGAAAATATGGTGCCCAACTTAGAAAGACTTGCTCCCATCTTTTTCTAAATAATTAAATGGGAATTATATGTAGAAAATGTATTACTTTTGGTCCCATGACCATTAAGGCCATTCCCACTTTTGGTCCTCTGCTATCACTTTTAGTGGTATGAATAGATTTTTGTCATTTATGGTCTATCAGACCACTTATCCTATAAAAACTGTACATTTTCGAGTTGATTTTCACCGGAAGAGTGGCCAAATAGGATTTAAAAAATGGTAAAAAAAACAGTCATGCGCTAAAAGAGAAAAGAATGAAAGTTATGGGTAAAAAATGAGAGCAACTTAAGAGTCATGGGACCAAGAGTGAGAATCTTTTCACAAATATATAGACATAAAAAGGTCTCAAATAGATACTACTAAAACTGGATACGAGGCAAGTGTTCAACTAGATGTCATTCTGATTGAACAACACTGTGTTATGATATTTTGGTAAACATAGATGACTGCTTTAAAATATAGTATTAGTCTGTAAAAGTTTCAGAACTTGAACTTAGATTTCCAATGACATAAAAAGGACTCAAAGGGATAGTCTTAAGCTTAATATGATCAAATCTACAACTACATATCAAGTACAATTTATACATAAATACATTTATGGGAATAAGGCTTGGATGTTGTTGTTGTTGTATACATTTATGGGAATGAAGGGCTTCATCGTTCAATTACATTATATGATGAGTTCATGACAAAAGAATACATCTCAGAAAAATTTAACATACATTGTTTAAGCAGTTTATAGTATAAGAGTAGTTTAAAGAAAAAACAATTTAATGTATAAGCAAACCTCTGCAAGGTTTGTTTCACTGTCTTCTAGTGAAGCACTTGAGGATCTCTCTTGAATTCCCAACCGAGATCTTGGAGTTCGCGGTGAATCTGAATCATCATTTCGTCCACGATATACTACAGTTCCACTGCTAGTAGATGCATCTTCAACCAAAACATTTGTGCTGCTAGACTAAGAATTACCCCCGTGTCAATTGGGAATGCAACAGGAAAAGATTTTAGTTTATTCATTGACATTTCAGTGGCAAAGGAACACTACCAGAAAGGTTTGGTCACTAACTAGAGATGAACGAACAGTTCTTGGACTTCTAAGGACCATAGTTCCTGTACCACTCACAGACAATTCTTCCTGCGAATCGAAGATATGAAATTAACCAAACAGAAGATTGTAGCGAGAAACTAGAAATGACAAAATACATTTAAAGGGGATGAATGTGATTACACAACCCTTAATATGAGCACATTTCTGATTAGTTTGATTTAATCATGACATGATTAAAGAAATCTGCTAATAAGAACTAATTTCAAAACAATGTTCTACAGTCCTACATCGGACAGTGATATATAAAGTTGAGATTAAACTTGGTTCTATATGATCTATTTGGGGTGAGTGGGACCAAATTTAATATGGTACCACTGCTGGTCTGATTACATGTTAAAGTATTCCACGTTGGATTGTTTATGATCTGTGTCTAATCTAATATATAAGAATGACTAATTAATTAATGTCTCTATTGGGTCAGGTCTAGCCCCCCTAATATTTTCTGTTCTTTTGTTTTAATCTTTGTATCTCGGAAAGGGATATACCTTTTCTGGAGAGATTTTGGCCTAGTCCCCCTCTCCTCTTGTATCTTTTTATATATTAATAAAACATGGCAAATGTTGTCTCGCATTTGCCCCACCGATGGGTGGTTTGCCTTTTGGGTTAAAAAAGAAAAGACTAATACTCGCATCTTCAGAAATCTTTTGGGGTAAGTTAGGCCCAGTTGAATATGGCATCTGAGTTGGGTCCAATTATGATTTGATTTTTTGTTTGTTTAGGACTCATGGTTTGGGGTAGCCAATTATCGAGCTCTTTGAGCCATTTATCCCACCCATCACGTTGACCAGCGTGATATGGGCTAAAAGGGCCTACTTTATTACAATGTAATAATTTATCATGCAGGGAAAGAACATGCAGGTTATGCATGCACGCGTAATCCCTGTAAGTGTGTGTGTGTGTGAGAGAGTGTTAGGAATTGGGCTTAATAGACTGTTGGGAATTGGGCCTAATAGACTAAGAATAATAATAAGTGTATTAGTTTAGTATAAATAGAAGATAGCAGGGGAGATTTAGTAGGCTGTTTAGACTTTATCATTCTGGGACTTGGGAAGATCGAGAGCTATTCTCTTTCTTTTGGGGGGCTTCGGCTCAACTGGGGGCTTCGGCCATTTGTTACGATTACTGTTCTTCTCTAATAAAATTGCAGTTAGTTTTCTTGAATCTTCTTCTATAATTTTCTGTATTACTGTACATCCTTATCATTGGTATCAGAGAAAGATGGATTTGCGGATGAATGAGTTGGAGAATAACCACAACAGATTGGATGATAAGGTGGATAGGAATCATCAACAAACGACGGAGATGTTGGCAGCGATTATGGCCAGATTGGATGCAAGCGATCGAGATCGATCGAGAAGTAGGTCGCATCGCTCATCTGCATCGCATCGCACTTCTCACCTTCATCATTCGCGACACTCAGCGAGTTCTGAGAACTCAGAAGGGTACGACAACCGTTCACCACCACACCGCCATCACCATCGCTGCAGGGGACATGATCACCGCCAACGAACTGGAAGAAAAATTGACTTACCAATTTTTAACGGAGAAGATGTTATGGGATGGCTGGTAAGAATGAACCGTTATTTCCGCCTGAATCATACGGAGGAAGAAGACAAAATTGATGTTGCCGTGATAGCCATGGAAGACCAGGCACTGAGCTAGTTCCAATGGTGGGAAGGCCAGGCTCGTCACCAGACTTGGGAGAGTTTTACGAAGGATCTAAGCAAACGTTTTCAACCAAATTTGGTGCAGGATCCTCTGGGATCTTTGTTTAGTTTGAAGCAGAAAGGGACGGTGAAGGAGTACAGAGATAAGTTTGAAGTTGCTATAGCTTCGCAGGGGCATCTGACTGAGGAGGTACTTAGAGGAGTGTTTCTCAATGGGTTGAAACGAGATGTAAGGGCTGAATTGAAATTATATCCTACAAGAACCCTAGCTGCTGTCATGGACACAGCTTCCTTGATTGAAAACAAGAACCATGAAGCCAACATCATAAAGAATAAAGATGAGGGAAAGAAGATTCTGAAAATAAATTCAGCAGGTGGACAGAGCTATCATAAATGGGGAGATGGTAGTAGAAATAGTTATAATCTGACACCTACAAATCAATTGATGAAGAACTCAAATGATAACAAGAAGCTGGAAGAAGGATTAAGTTCTGTCTCCAGGAATACATGCCCCAGATTATCACAGAATGAGCTGCAAGAAAGAAGTAAGAAAGGGTTATGTTTTAAATGTGGTGAAAACTGGAATCGGGGTCACATTTGTAGAATGAAAAATTTTAAAATAATGATGGTAGAACAATCTGAAGGGGAGGAAGAATCTGAGACTGACTTTAGTAAAGAACAAAAAGAAGAAGGAATTCTTATGGAAGCTAAGACTATGCAATTATCTGTGTTGAACAAAGAAGGAACGCCACTCATGAGAACATTTAAAGTCCTGGGAAATCTGAAATGGCTGATTGAGGAAAAGAAGGTGCATATTTTGATTGATTGTGGAGCTACTCACAACTTTATTTCACAGAAGATTGTTGAGGAATGGAAGATACCTTTTGATTGCATTAAGGGGAATAAAGTGCGGTTAGGGAATGGGGAATTTCTTCCCAACTATGGTAGGTGTGATGGGTTAACAGTGGTTGTACAAGGAAATGAAATTTTGCAAAAATTTTACATTCTGCAATTGGGGGGAGTGGATGTAGTGCTGGGAATGAGCTGGTTAACTGGCCTATGGGATATGGCAGTTAATTTTCAAAATCAGACCATCAAATGGGAGGTACAGGGGCAGAAGGCTAGTATACAAGGAGATCATCAACTAGGAACAAATAAGGAGATGAAGAGCTTGGTGAATAAGAGAGGAGAAGGAAACTTGCTGAACTATCATGTGTTATCTATTGATATTGAAGAAGAAAGTGTTCAAAAGCAAGAAGTTGCTGTCCTCGGTGTTGCAGCAGGCGGTGACTTCACCTCCACAGAATCTGAAAGAACCAAATTACAAAAACAAATGTCATGGCATCTGTGTATATCCACTGTGAAATACATAGGGAAGAAGATGGAAGCAGCAAAACTAAAAGTCCAGCAATCCATCCAGTATTGGAAAGGGAGAGGTGCTAGGATGAAGGAAAAGAAGAAGATGGTGGCTGTGTCCTATCGCCCACCTTGAGGGCAAGGTGGATGTTTAGGGGGGGAAGAATTGTTAGGAATTGGGCTTAACAGACTGTTGGGAATTGGGCCTAATAGACTAAGAATAATAATAAGTGTATTAGTTTAGTATAAATAGAAGATAGCAGGGGAGATTTAGTAGGCTGTTTAGACTTTATCATTCTGGGACTTGGGAAGATCGAGAGCTATTCTCTTTCTTTTGGGGGGCTTCGGCTCAACTGGGGGCTTCGGCCATTTGTTACGATTACTGTTCTTCTTCTCTAATAAAATTGCAGTTAGTTTTCTTGAATCTTCTTCTATAATCTTCTGTATTACTGTACATCCTTATCAGTGAGAGAGAGAGAGAGAGATAGGCAGCATACATTGTCAGACTCTGAATCTTGTTTTTCATTATTGTAGGCATCTCCGGGATCTTTCCCGCTGGACAAATCTGATGAATTGTAAGCTAGAACTCCAGAGCCAGAAGACCAAGGGTTATTACGACCATCCAGATTTTTTCTTGACGGAGTTTGATTTAATGGAATGTCTGGTTTCCTATCCCTAACTTGAGGAGGTCTGACTGCACTTCGCACTGTTCCTGTGCTAGATGATCCTTCAATGCTAAAGTCCCATCCAGCATTTTTCTGTGTTTTCCCTTGACTGGTGAAAGTTAGTACCATTAAGCCAGAAATCCAGAAAAGAACAATAGATAAGGGACTCAAGATGTTCTACATACCTCACTCTAAAAGTATCATCAATTGCAGAATCTCTAGACACCTTAAGAGTGCCTGAAGCTTCCCCTAGTGGCTTTTGACCAGTTTTAGGGGTTAGTTCATCGTCCTTTATCTGAAACTTAGGGCGCTCCCTACACAATAACAGGTGAATAATTTTAAAATTACGTATCCATACTGAATTAAAAAATCATTAAAAACTGACCTTAACTTAAAAGATATCGAATCATGGTTTGATAAAAATTATCTAGTACACTATCAACAGTTCCCAATCAGAGAACCATGCCAGATAACAAAGTATAACTAATGACTACATTCAAAACAAGCGATATGCCAGAAAATGGGATAAACCTGATTCGCTCCAAAAGCCTTGGGCTCTTCCTCGCATTCCTGATAAACCGATGTCTCAGAAGCTCCTTAGCACTTGGCCTCTGAAGTTTTAAAAGATGTTAAAATTAGTTAGGATGCACCAAACTTCAGCATATTAAACATCAGAATGTGCATTTCATATCCAGCAACCTAGTGTATATTCAGAAGAAATGAAGAAAGCAGTGTACTGCTATCTGGCAATACATATAAATGTAGATCTATAGGAAAGAGTTTTCGTTGCTATCATCTATACTTTCATTTGCTCTCAACATTGTTTCGCCTTAAAGCTTTTTATAGTGACAATGCGGGAGAAAGAATATGCTTAAATACCAACCGTACAATTTTTTTGCTTGGAAATATGATGGAATAAAGCAAAACGACTCACTTAACTGTCTGCACTTCTTTGTTATGAAGTAGCAGTCAGTCCGTGCAATTTTCGACGTGATTTTCATCAATGGGTCATCCGGAAACATTTTCTTTGCGGCATTGGGGTAATGTTGTTGTTTGTTGTACCAACCACACAATTTCTTTTTCTTTATAAGCATGCCAAAAGCCGATTGGAAGCTAATTTGGGGGTAGAGGGAGCAATACCTTTCATTAGTTGTATAATTAGAACTAATGCATTATGACTATAAAGTTTATCAAAATAACAAACAGAATATCCAAAAGATTCTTCGATTTGAATCTTCCCATTGTTAACCCTCTTACCACATCCTTACTAAGGAAGAGGATATACTAGCTTGGGAGAATTCCCAAATGTAAACACAGGGAATCGCAGACATGGTAGAGAGGTTTATGATGGAGAACCAACGAGCAATGTGATCGCAAAGAGCGAAATGTGAACCAGTGAAAGGAAGATGGGGCTAGTGGTGCTGAATTAGTAACTGAAAATGGAGCTAGTGGTTGTAAATTGGAGGTAATTGATGCTGTTTTAGGATATATATATTTTATTTGCGCAACTCAATCCAGAAACACAATTTCTTCTACAAAACATGTTTTAAAATTGATAGAGACCTAGATAGTACTACTAATAAGAATAAAGTTAGTCTTTTAATATTGTACAAATGGAAAAGAATGGATCTTTGCGCTGGGACTGAATTAAATAGGACTGTGCTAGCCCAAATGGAAAAGAATAAATAGGAGTTGGGGGAGTAGAATAGGGGCAGGCAGAACCGCAGAACTTGAGACTTGGGCTGGAATTTTGGGAGAGATAGGCTGCTCTAAGTGCCTAACCATGTATTGTTTCATGTCTGATCTTCATTCACATTCATAATAAACAAAGATTTTCCTCTTTCGATCTTGGTATCTACCATTGGTATCAGAGCAGTTCGCTCCTGACCTGGTGAATGAGATTTATCCGATCACAAACGGAAGGTCGCCTGGATGATCTCGAGCAGAAGATAGATCGCGACATGGAGCGCAACATTCACCTCGAGCAGAAGATCAATCGCAACATGGAGGAGATGCAAAATATACAGGGAATTATTACCGAGCTGCGTCAAATGACGATGAGCCAGAATCATCGGAAATCCAGGGGAAGGTCACGAACTAACAGGCGACGAACTCCAGCTGCTAACGAGAAGTCTTCGCACTCTCGAGGTAATCCACATAGTCCGCAGGTCTCTTCTCAGTCGCTAGCAGCGTCTCACAGTTTCAGTTCGCAGTCGCTACTTCGTACCTCACCAATCATCATTGCGAGAGGCTTCTACCAGTTCGCATATGGCATCTCAAGCCGTGCCTCACAGTTCACAAACTTCATCGCTATCAGTTGTTCTGAGTTCGCAACTGACTTCTTAATCGCAAGCAACTCCTTCTAGTCCTCTGGTTTCGTTGCGAGCAGATATTGTCAGTTCACAGGTTGACTTACTCGCCGTATCTCACAGCTCATCCACTTCCAGAACTTTCAACCTGGTCGCACTCAGGAAAGGGACCCCAGGGGACTCCACCAACGACAAGGAACACTAAATAAGCCGGTTGCACCATCAGTTACGGAATCATACCCTGAAGAGGATGTTAATCAACCTATAGCATTTTCATCAGACCCTGAAGAGGATGTTAATCAACCTACAGGATTTTCATCAGGCAATGGGGAAGGTTCAGAAGTGCGTAAATTGGATATCCTTATCTATGATGATATGAGGTTGAGCTATGATCAAGGTTGTGATTTTTGAACAACTGAAAGTAGTCAATAATGTTGCTGAAAAGATTATGAACCAGTATACTACCTACTCTCTAATAATGTGTCATCCTAGCCCAACCAAGGAGATGCTTGAATCCTTTCTCGAAACTTCTGCAGCTGTAGGCATGGGACAGGCAGTTTACTTGTGTAGGGGAGATATGAAACCTCCCGGGTTTGCTGTTAAGGATGGACCTCTTGCTTATTTTGATTTTGGAATGATGATAGAATGGAACAAGATCAATCACTGTGAAGAGATTATTGCTGCAGCAGATAAGGTTTCTGAAAGCGTGGATAGGGAAGAGCTAACCAAATCCAGTCAAAATCGATGCTGAAGCTGACTTTGTAATTTTAATTGGAGATGCTTTGTGGTGGCCAGCTTCTGTGCAGGGTGTAATTATCTTTCAGAATTTCTATTTGCTGAAATTGGGGGGAACAGATATATTACTGGAAAGGAGTGACAGTGCTCTACAACATGCTAACAGCAGATGGAGAGAGAAGAGGGTGGCTGATATTGAAGGACAGGGGCCAAGCTCCTTTGGGTGCAGATGTTGTCTTAGATCTGAGTGCCTGGGAAAAGAAATGGGTGGGAAATGATCCACAGATTAGAGCAATTGAAGGATCAGTTTTCACTCATTCAGATGTCAAGTATAGGGTGACCATAAAGAATTTCAATTTGGTACCTTCTGAAAATCAGGACTCTTGAGTTTGCTCATGATTTGGGACTGAAAAGGGCTGATGAGTTTGCTCTTGAATACCTGTCGGGTGAAATCTCTAAGGAAAGTTGGAAGAGAAAAGAGATTACAAACGTTGAGTACTTGATGGTTCTCAACACACTTGCTGGAAGATCTTATAATGAGTTAACTGAGTGTCCTGTGTTTCCTTGGGTTCTGGCTGATGGTCCATTAGAAACTCTGGTTTTGATCAAATCGTCTACTTACCAGGATCTTGCAAAACCAGTTGGAGCACCAAGTCCAAAACAAGATGGAGAGCCAATAGGTGATGTTGTGCTCCTTCGAGGGGTTAATGGTTTTCTTATATGAGTTATGAGCAAGCACATGGCAACCTTTGAAAGTGAATATGTTAGCTCAAATCTTCACCATTGGATTGATGTGATCTTTCGTAATAAACAGTGTGGGAAACCTGCAGTTGAGGCAGCAAACATATTGTAGCATGTAAGGTACAAATGCGCTGTTAATCATGAGACAAGGGAAGAGGGGCACGAGATGCAGTTGCTGGGAGAAGTCTTGTGCACGTGGAGTGGGCCTGGTTGCAGTCTGCTGAGTTCTGTCTTACCTTCCTGGGTTGCTGAAATGAAGACTGAAACTTACAGTCCGAAGCTGACTTTGTATTCTCAATTGGAGATTCTGTAAGAGATCATACATGGGGCAGTAAAGGAGATAACAACCTTGGCCAAAAGGATCACTAATTCACTATGTTGACAAAGAGATTGAGTGGATACCAAAACGAAGAAAAATATCTGAGCTGAAGTACTGGGAAGGCAGAGGAGCAAGGATAAGCATACTGGCATGGCTGTTTCTTACTCAGTTACTCCCAACCTTGCGGACAAGGTGGTTGTCAAAGGGGGAAGTAATGATAGAGACCTAGATAGTACTACTAATAAGAATAATGTTAGTCTTTTAATATTGTACAAATGGAAAAGAATGGAACTTTGGGCTGGGACTGAATTAAATAGGACTGGGCTAGCCCAAATGGAAAAGAATACATAGGAGTTGGGGGAGTAGAATAGGGGCAGGCAGAACTTGAGACTTGCGCTGGAAGTTTGGGAGAGATAGACTGCTCTAAGTGCCTAATCGTGTATTGTTTCATGTCTTATCTTCATTCACGTTCATAATAAACAAAGATTTTCCTCTTTCAATCTTGGTATCTACCAAAAATCTTTAATTTCAGAAATGGCCACAAAATGTTATGGGGTGTTCTCAATATTCCAAGAGCACAAAAATGTGTCTGAAAAACAAATGCATCGTAATTATTTATTAATAGAATATAAGAAAGTGCAATCTACCTCAGTGGGATTTTTCTTCAAACATGAAGATATGAATTCTTTCATAGGACGGGAGAAGTGCTCCTCAAGCTGTATCACAATAAATGTTTTAACAAAGAGTTCACCACTCGATACAATTTCTTGAACATATCAAAAGTAGCAAGAAAGAAAAAATGAGTAAAAAGACACCTGAGGTGGATTTTCTCGAGGTATGATGAAAAGAACTCGCATTGGATGGAGATCGGCTAATGGAGGTTCTCCCTTTGCCATCTCAATGCCTGTTATACCCAGAGACCAAATATCTGCCTACATCAACCAAATATGCACAGTATTTCAATGTTGTTGAAACTTGACATTAAAACTAACCGTGAGGCGTAAAACTAACCATGTGTAGAACAATGAAAATGACGAAGGCTAATTGCTCAAAGATACCTTTTCATTATATCCTTCTGAATTCTGAATTACTTCTGGTGCCATCCAGAATGGTGTTCCTACAAATGTCTATAAATACATGCAACATCAGTTTGACATCTAAACAAAAACATAGACCAATCAATGCTATCGTGACAGAATAACACATCAGCCATTATAGGGAAGAAAAAATTAGCAACCATCCATCTCCCATTGAGTTTGACATGAAAGCAAATGGCATAAAGAAAACAAAGAACAACAATGAACCATATAAATAAATCATATACTTATCTAAATGAACTGAATGCTTATATTTCTAAGAATGCAGAATTTCTGTTCATAAACTAGAAACACAGACTGTGGATAACTACCCTTTATTGTCATATTACTAAAATGACATCTGCAACACTTCTGTAAACAATATCAGTAAATATCATTTCCCAATTCCAAGTATGAGGGAAGAAGCAGCACTGTTTATTAAGCAACATACTAAGTTGTTTCAATATTTCACCTTCATGAAAAGTATGTAGTATAGGATTGCAACCTGAATAGATATATATACACTGTTAGAGGGGGAATCAAAAATCAAGGATATGAGATTACCTTTCTTCTTGAAATTGTCCTTGTCAATTGAGCAGAAACACCAAAATCTGCCACCTGTTACGGGAATATGAAAACGGTGATTAATATATGGTGAGTATGATGTATCTATACATTATGCATTTTTACTTATTCTGTGGGGCATTCACAGATAGGAACTACAAATAAAGAAAATACCTTCACATCCCCATTCTCTGATAACAAGATGTTTGCCGCTGTAAAAAGAAATATTCAATAAGGCACACAAATTCTAATATGCAAACATAAAAAGATTGACTCCAAGTTAGAGAGTAAAGCAAATACCAATACAATAACATTACCCCAATGCCGCAAAGGCTCCCACTTACGGTGGGGTAAGGGGGGTCAGATGTACGCAGCCTTACCCCTGTACTATAGCACAAAGAAACTGAAGTAAAGCAAATACCAATGACTAAAGCAAATCCTAAGTTTATGATAACTTAAAGGACTAAAAGCAGATAAGAAGTTTTAATGGTTCAGAAAGGATAGAAATTGATCATCACTTGATATTATTGATTGAAATCCATAAAAGTTCTACAGGCTCACTTTTGTTCGAGTACCATATACCTACTCCCTTCATAATCTTGCAGTCTGAATGCATGACCCCACTTTCAAAAGTCTAATAAACAGAACTCTTAATATACTCCCCTGTATTCTATTGTTTGCTACAATAGGGTTTTGGCACAATATTTAAAGAAAAAGTAGTAGGGGTAATGAATCGTGTAGAAAAAGTAGGAGATATGGTGGAAAAGTATGAAAGAGAAGACGAAAAAGTAGAAAAGTACACTGAGTATTTTTAAGGGGGGAAACTTACCAAAAAGAGAAAGTGCAGCAAAAAATTAAAAAAACATCCCAAAAAGGAAAGTGTAGCAAACAAATGATACGGAGGGGGAGTGTGAAGTATATGCATCACCAATACTTAAGTAACTCTAGAAAAGGAGGAACCTTTAATATCTCGATGAATTTTGCCTTCACTATGGAGATAATCAACAGCATGGAGTAAATCACGTAAAATGCAAGCTATAGACATTTCATCCAACGGGTGATTTGGTTGAATCTGCAGAAAATAAATACTTAGTATGAAAATAGATGTCATAGAATGGAGGCCTCACTTAATTGAACACTGGATAAAGAAAAACATTAAAAATGTCACCAAGAGCACAGGTGGCAAGGATTTATTAGTCAGGATTGCAGTAAGTTAAGGCCTTAATGGAAATGACTAGAATGCATCATAGGCATTGGACTGGCTTTAACAAAGAAATGAAATATTAATGCCAGTACCTAAAAAATTGATTTTGATCTAGTATTCATAAAATATTTTGTATTTTCAGGTCAGGGCTTGTTCTGAGTCAGCCTGAAGCTAGACAAATAGTTGATGTTTAAGCAGAGAAAACGCTCCACATCATTAAGAAACAAAAATAAGTTGGACGCACAAGCTTAAGAGTTACGGCTGGCTAGTAATAATAGCAGCTGCTAGTGCTGTGTTCCATATGGTACATAGAAAAACAAGACCCCTGTCACTTATAAAAAGAATGGCACTATGGCTTATGCAAATATGCTTCACCTTTTATTCACTTCACTTATTTGCAAAGTAAAAATGTATAAATGAGAAGCATGCATTGGAGTATATCCTGCCAGAAGAGGGTAGGAATATCTAAGAATATGTGACCTACTAGATCAGCAACGGATCCACCAGCCATGTACTCCATTATTATCCATAGCTTTGTTTGGCGAAGATAAGACCCATAATATTCCGTAATATATGGAGATCGACATTGTTGCAGGACTGCAATTTCCTGAAAGTGGTTATTGGACATAAAAAAGTTTGTTCATTTATTCATAATGCAAGTGCTCAGAAAATCATGATCAACTATACACTGAAATGAATATATACCTTTTGAATATCCTCAATCTCATCCTCTCTGTAAGAAATAATAAAAATAATTCCAAAAGGCAGATTTTAGAAAAAGCTTAACAAATATGAAGACAAGACCTAATATACATTCCCACGATGTGAATCGCAATCAAATGGAAACATAAGTTCAAAATTTGGAATGAAGTAATGAACCATGATAAACAAGGGGAAAAATGGAAGCCTCTCATATCAGTGATTAGAATAGAGAATTATACTTACGATTCTTCTAAATCAATGACCTTAATGGCAACCTCTTTGCCCAGTTCCTTGTCAAAGCTACAAATCAATGCAAAAAATCTCATATAAAGATGTGTGGTAAAAACGATAATAAACCATTGAGATAATGTTTCCTTGTATAATAAAACAAGCAAGTAAAACTGTTCTTGGAATTGATCTTATTTTATCTAGATATTAGATATTTCCATCATTTGCAATGGAGCCAAAGATTCACTATTTTTTGGGTTGGGAATATGATGGAATAAAGCAAAATGGTTCACTAAAGTGTCTGCGCTTCTTTGTTATGAAGCAACCAACAGTCAGTCCATGCAATTCTCAATGTGATTTTCATCTTGGGTCATCCGTAAACAGTCTCTATGTGCTTTAGTACAGGGTAAGGCTGCATACATCTGACCCCCCTTACTCCACCGTAGGTGGGAACCTTTGCGGCATTGGGGTAATGATGATGATTAGATATAAAAGAGTTTTTAAAAGTGACACCGACAAGATCTTCTGCATAAAATGAAGTTTGCGGTATGTCTTGCAGATAGTGTGAGTGCCATAGAATTGTGAACAGCATATTATAAGCCATGAAGGCCTGAAGGGCACCATTATAAGACCTGCAGGACATGAAACTGAAGTCCACAGAGTGGTCCACTCATTCTGTTGCATGTTTAGGGGAATATAAGTATATAACACATGGCAATATGAAGCACGGAAACTCTCTGCAGCTCACGTTTCCCCGTTTTGGAAACTCGGAAGCGTGTCAGAAACTCGGAAACTTCAAATTCGTGATTTGGGGCTGTTTCTTAAATTAAGAAAAATTAGGAAACCTGTTTCCCTAAATAATTAGCATTTCCAAAATCTCATGTTTCCAAATCTTTTTCTTTTTCAACAGATTCTATGAGGGAAACTAGTGTCTTTTTTTAAAAAAAGTGAGTTTTTGTGGTATTTCTTCCATGCAACATGGCTAGAAATGTAATGCATTTTAAGTTTAATTATGTACTAATATGTAATGATTTTTAAATTGGAATCTGTAGAATGTTTTTTATTATTGGGTTATCAAAAACAAAGTTACATGAAAAAATTTATGTGCATATATATATATATATATATATATATATATAAATGAAAAACCTTGTGTACATATTGGCAAAAATATTTATAAATATATCCTTAAATTTTTAATATTCATGTGTTTCCTCCACATTTCGTATAGTATATTTTTGTTAAATTACATTTTTTTTGTTTCCCGTTTCGTGTTTCCCTCTTCCCGTTTCCATTGCTACTTAGCATGGGATTACTATGTGCCTAGCTAGTCTAAAAAAAGAAAGGGACTAATGTACAAAACTTCAAATAATGCAATCAACGACACCACCTGATGGGATCAAGGGCTACGTACTACAGGTAAGTGCTCTAAAAAGTGCTAGATGGTCTATAGGAGCTAGACTGGATCCTAACACTTAATATAGGTAGGGCAGGAATAAGTAATGACCTAGGCAGGGATGAAATACAACAACCATAACATCCAAGCCTTAGTCCCAATAGGAAGGGCTGAAATAAGAAGGAAAACAGGAGGTGGCGGCCTTTTTAGAGCATTGCTAGTGGTATCGAACAATCAAACAATAACCTAAATCAAAAACCCATTGTGAAAGCGCCTTCAAGTAAAAGAACATTATTAAGGAGGAATCTTTTCCTAGATTCTGAAATTATGATTTCCTTATTAGATGAAAAGAAACAAAAATAACACATATGTTTATTCATTTCCGTCCAAGTTCCAACTATTTGCCACTTCCAACCCCATTACAAAGGTCAATTCACAACACAAAAACATGAACGATTCAAAAACCTTAATGATTTATCATAAGCAACATGCATGGAATTACATACTCCATACTTTATTACACAGGAAAAAAGATTTTTTTGCTTACCCTTTATAGACGTCACCAAATGAACCTCTTCCTATGAGTTCCAGATCACTAAACCTGGACCCTGAGGCTTCAATTAGCAGTGCCGCATCAGCCATCTCTAAAAACAACTATCTTCCTTTAAACTCCAAGTACAATGACCAATGGTAAAATCACAAACCATTATATTCCGCCTTCTTATTGAACTAGCATACTGCAAAATCAACATGTGTGGCAAGCAGGTTTGCTTAAAGTCACTCTTAAACTATCCAAGACCACATTAGCTAATACAATCAAACGTTTATATTTCTTCAGACGCACATAATTGTCCGATAGGATCAAAATTGGAGATCTAAAACAGCCAAATGAATTTCACCATAATGTGGGAAATCCTAAGACGCAACTGTTCCCATAGATACTCGTTAGGTAAAGTGGAGAGTCAAAAAAATGACAATCCAACAAATCTGGCGCACTTTTGCACACACCAACCCCTTGCCCACAATTTTTTGAGTGGAAAAATCCACTCTTTTTCAGAAGAAAAGAATGATAGCGAAACAAGCCCGCAGTGACCTCATGTTTCAGGTATTCCATAAGGAACTCCAAAAGTTCTACAAATCCCAGGGTTCATTTGAAAAAACATAATCAACTAACCTTGTTAGCATGAATCCGAAGGATAAAAGAATAATTGTTGGAGGTGGATTCACCGCAGTTAGAATAAAAATTTAACCAGTGGATAAACCATCGATGAGCTACAGATCTCTCCTTGGTCTACAACTGTACATGTAAATTATACACGGGCAATACGGTTGTCTTCTCCTCCTCACTGGCTTCTTGGAGTTCTGCAGAATGGATCGAGATGAAGAGGAGAATACAAAAAGAAAGACATTATACGTGCGTAGTGTCGTTTATTATTTGGTGAAAGAATTCGTTTTTAGACAAGGTTAATGAACCGGGCATAAAAGTATAAAACAACCCCATTGTACATGGTTGTATGAAAAAGTTGTGTGCATGTGTATTTTGTACATTTCTTTGTCACATTTTCCTCAATACCATCGTTAGCATGTATATATGAAGGGCAATTCTTGATGTACACACACTTGTACACACTCAGGGGCGGATTTGAGGGCAGTTGGGCCAGGCAAATGCCTTGGGCCTCAACTACCAAGGGGGCTTCCAAAAAATTCTACTCCGGTATTAGTATTAGGTGTTATTCGCAGACCGCCAATACACCAAGCGGCAACTGCAAGCAGAAATCAGCTTTATAGTTCACTTTTGACTATTCGTCCTTCATCAAAGTTGTAGCTAATGAAGTTTTCTATCCAACACAGCTTGCAAAACTGGATTTGAATCATCCAATAAAAATATATGAATAAAACGGTGGAAGGTCGCATTCTGAAATCTCAACAGAGATTGTCTGACTTCATCGTCTGTTTTCACCTTGTTTCTCTCATATTCTCACAATGATGTCTTCATATGATTTGTAGCCCTTGAAGTTGGATTTCATATGAAACTTGAATCATGTTTTTTGGATGTTCCTAAGAAAAGATATGCTTGAACGATTGACAGAACGTCATCATAACCGTTGTTTTCAAGCTCTATTCGTCTTCTTTTGATCCCGTAGCCAATTCTAGAGCTCTTTTGTCTTCAAAACTTTGTCTTTAACACCTCACTGATCTCCAATGCTCCTAATCAACTCTAAAATGCTTCTCAACTCGTCCCTATTGCTTCTCAAACACCGGTGCCAGACTCAAATTCCCTGATTTTGACTCCAAAAATACCAAAATTCGAACCAACGGCCGGTAAATATGACTTGAGCTTAAAATTGAGACTTATGACATCTTAAAGTTAGGAAAAAACTATCAAAAGCCGATCTCAAAACGCATCAACGTCCAACACAGACCGCTAATCGGCTACTGTATATATGCCCCACTGCCCACCGTCGACATGGGTCCTTGGTTAGTGAATCAACTAAGACTTTTCAGCTCTTCTCTCTGAGCCTCGTTCTTGAAGTCTCTTAATACTTTTACAAGTACAAGTTTGCCTTGTGTTTTGAATAAGTTTGCATTTTAAAATTTATCCTTTTGAATATTACAAACATTATATCGTGGACTCTGAATATGCTTTTTTTCATAAGGCGATTTTTATTCAATTTATCTGATTTTAAAAGTGATTTGTACATAGTAAATATTTTTCGTCTAGGGCCTCCAAAATGCTCAAGCCGCCTCTGTACACACCTTATACACACCATGTTTGTGAAGCTTTTTTTTGTCTGTGAATCTGGTTCACAGACAATATTTTGTTTGTGCAAAACATTGTCTGTGAATCAATGTTCACAGAAAAAAAAAAGCTTTCGCAGACATAGGTGTGTACAAAAGTGTGTACAAGAGTCTGTACAAACATCATTTTTGATATATGAATCATTATATTTAGTGATAATGATTTAAAAATGTAACTTTCATGGGTGTTACAAAAGAATTTACCAGAAATGTAACAAGAAAGACTACGAGTCTGGTGACTCCGGTTTTCGGTTTATCAATCTTATCAGCCAACTTTTTAATTAAACGTGTGACTTTTAATTTATCCAAGCGCCTGTTTGCATATTGAAATGATGTCTTCTTTCCCTTCATAATTTATAAAGAGGATCAACGTATTGTGCAGTGTCAAATTATAATAGTTCATGTATATAAATTTAAAGTATAAAATTAATGTGGGTTGGTAACTGATCAACATGTAGCTCTACTTTCATAATTTGTTTGCTAGTCATGAGCAGGAGTTTCTCGAGCCATTGCCCAAAAACTGAGGCATCAATTGTTGAAGTAGTATCGTGATTGAGATATTCACTTTGAATCTAATAATTTCATTAAAAAATCAAAGAATTGTCATTATAGTTTTTGTTTAACTTTTTAACTCAAAAAAGGTTGACCATATATTTAATGGATAATTTTGATATCTGACCATGGAGTACCAATTGCATCCTCCTTACCACAATGCATGCAAAAAAACGGGTATCACAATCTGCATAAACTGTTTTCAAACAGTTGCTACAAGCCATATACCAAAGACTGTCACCTTCAAGTTGGAGGTTGATTTTGCCGTGAATCCAAACGGGTTTCATCTGCAACATGTTATGATGTTAAGCAGTCATTGTTATGATGGAACCATGTATTGCTATTATTAGTTATTTATTTTAAGTTTTGTAGAATATACCGATCAATGGATGGAGGTACATCATATATTTTGGAAATTTCCTCAACGACCGGAGTTGCAAGGTTAATTGCCGCATTAAATACTCATATAATGTAGGATTATAAACATGAAAGAAATAGAGAAATATACATTTTCAAACGATTATTATTTTATTGTAGGATGCTAATATATTAAATCTCTACACATGTAAAATAAAATGCATGTATGACAACTTATTATGAAAGTGTATAAATAAAACATACACTATATTAGCTATGACTGGAAGCGGGTTTGGTGACCCCTCTTTCATTTAATCATCCCCTCACATGTTGAATTGTATAATATTCCCTCTCCCTTAAAACGTTGTCATCTTTCCTTTTTGCGACGTCCCAAAAAACTTTGTCACTTTCCCTTTTAATCAATTATTTTGTGGTTTTTGTTATTTCTTTCTCTTCTACACAAACCTGAACCACACAGTTTTCACTTTATTATTCTCCGTGCCGATCAACTTTGGCAAAGTTTTAAGGGACGGCGGTAGTAATATATATTTTATTAATAAAAAAGAATGTTTGAAAATAGTTAAATTACTCTCTACAATAGCTTCAATCAATTTAGTCAGAAAAGTAATTTTAATTTTACTTATTTTGACCGAAAGTTGTTTTTTGGTAACTAACTTTCAGCAAACGAGCCCTACATTTGTTAGTGAATTGACTAAATTTGGTGGAGAAAATGAATTTAGCTTTTTCGTATAGTTTTTTTTTCTTTATTGTACTCGTTATATATTGAAATGTTTATTACATTTTCCTTTTTGAAATGTATATCAACTTTTTGCTACATTTTTCATTGTTGGTAACTTTATCCTTTAAAAATATTCGAATACACTTATTTTTCTACTTTTCATCTCTTCATTCATATTTTTCACCATGGTTTGTATGTGATCTCACCCCTATATATATATATATATATATGTATATATACATATATATATACATATATATATCTCCGAGAGTGATCAAAATGTAATTGAGGCACACACTAAAGAATACTGGAAGGAGGTTTGTGGTGAGTTGCAACATAAAGTGAATCAGATTGCTCTTAATGATAAAGAAGTACTAGGAGTAGTTCTGAAACGTAAAACCAGAGATGCCTATCATCCTTGGTCGGTCACTACGAGGTTAGCGGCCAAGAGGAACAATAAAGATCTCCCCCTAGATGTTTCCCTATGATGAAGCTTCTAACATGGAATCTACATGGCCTTGTTTCTTCTTGCCCGAGGTTACGTGAATTTGTTAGGCAATACTCTTTGGATTTTGTTTCTGTGATTGAACCAATTGTGGGACAACATAAAGGTGATTTTTTTAAGCATAGCTTGGGTTTTAATAATTTGTTTATGTCTGCTTCAAACAAAATTTGGATTATGTGGAACTCCAATTCTTTCGAGGTTACTTCAGTCTCAGATAAGAACCAATTTCTTTTAGTTAAGGCGAAGTACATTCCGTTGGATTTTGAGTTTGTTTTCTCCCCGGTTTATGGTTTGCACACGAGGCAGGATCGTGCAATGCTCTGGAGCGACTTACGGGCCTTTGCTAGAACTAACAATCTACCATGGATTCTCGGAGGAGACTTTAACATAGTCTCTTCAATTTCAGAATACAAAGGGCCGAATCAACCTTTATTGAATGACGTGATGGACTTTCGCGATTGTATTGATGGATGCGAACTTCTACAATTGCCTACTATTGGATCTAAATTTACATGGACCGGTATGAGATCTAATGGGAGGATATGGGAGAGATTAGATCGATATTTGGCCAATCACATTTTTGTATCTAATTTTGATGCAGTTAATATTCAGCACCTGAGTAAAACGCCATCAGATCACTGCCCTATTCTATTATTGTGTGATAAACATGATACTAGTGGATCGAGACAGTTCCGTTTTCAGAATATGTGGTTTACAAATGATGATTTTTTTACCTTTTGTGAAGTCTAAGTGGGAGAGCTATCCCAGGATGGGGGCATGCGAGGTTTATGTGAGAAGCTGCGTAGTCTTAAGGTGGATTTGAAATGCTGGAATAGGGAGGTCTTTGGTGATATCTTTGGAGCTATTAAGAAGTTGGAAAAGGAAGCTATGGATGCAGAGAAGGAGTTTGAAGAATGCCCCAATGAACTCTCAAGAGCTAATTGTCATAAGAAATAGGCTGAATTATTACTTCGAATTAAGTAACAAGATGAGTTTTGGAGGCAGAAGGCAAATATTCAGTGGCTTGGTCAGGGGGATGCAAACACCAAATTTTTTCATGCGGCGGTAAAGGATAAAATTAGGAGGCAATGCATTCAAGCAATCAAAAAATCAAATGGGGATTGGTGCTATGACACTAAAGAGATTGGAATGGAAGCGGTTGAATTCTTTTCTAACCTATATGGTAGTGTGCAGACTAATGAATTTGATAAGATGCTCCAATACATTCCTCAAGTTTGGGACCGATCTGCTAATGACGATTTAGTTAGACTGCCGGAGGAGGCAGAGGTTAAATCAGCAGTATGGGGACTTAGTAAGGAAGCAGCGCCAGGGCCAGATGGGTTTGGAGGAGGTTTTTACAGGGGTTGTTGGGATATTATAAAACGAGATGTAGTGCTGGCAGTACAAGAATTTTTTCTTGGCATCCATCTACCTAAAGGAATAGGCAGTGCTAGCATGGTCTTAATACCTAAGAAGAAAAGTCCTATTTCCTTTGGGGATTTTCGTCCGAT